CACTTTTTCCAAGATCCTTGAAACAAGATCGAGATGGGTAATCCTTGACTTACAACCACAGTTGGGTCCAGAATTTCTGAACCTAAGCAAGGCAGTTGTTAATGTGAGCTTTATGGGGGGGGGGATGGTTGGCTATAATTGTTAAGTGAATCACTGTGATTATTAGGTGAAACATGCAGTCATAAAGTAAATCTGGCTTTCCCCATTAACTTTGCTTGTCAGAAGCCAGCTGGGAAGGTTATAAATTCTAATCACATGGCCCCAGGACACTACCACCATCCTAAATGGCTTCCGATGGTGAGATGGGCAGCACGTACATTTAATAATTTAAATAAAAACATGCCAGTTGCAAGGTGCCTGAATTTCAATCATGTGACCATGGGAAGGTTGCAACAGTCAAAGGTGTGTAAACCACTTTTTCAGTGCAGTTATAATTTCAAATGGTCAGTAAACAAATGGTTGTAAGCTGAGGATGACCTGTACCAGGGTTTTTAAATGCAAATCATTATTAAGTACTGCACAATGACTAGTTCATTAACTCCAAAGTCCTTTGATAAGAATCCCAGGCTGGCTTGTTGCATGCCAGTCTTTCTGCCTTTCTAGCCCCAGTAGTGGTCCCAAAGAGGACCAGTTAGGGACAGATCATGGAGAAAGTCTATCTAGGCAGCTGCTAAGAGTGGACACCATCTCAATGGCATCTAATCATCATAGTTATCACTGGCTACAGGAAATGTTTGGAAGGTCTTTCTGCCATAAGAGGTGTTTCATAGTAGTGATTGGAAAGACATGAAAGCTTCTGCACCTGCAATGTTCAGTTTTCTTATTTTGAATCTATAGACAACAACACAAAAACGGAAAGCGTCCCGAGTTTCAGAAAGAGTCATTTCACTTTGTAGCATGCAATGGTTGTGTCAGCTTTTATTCACCCGGGGATCCATTGAAACACACAATTTGACTAGGAGTGCTGAAACTTTGCACAGAACTGTGAATGGAGTTCCTCCTCTATGAAAAGTTGCACTTGCATAGTTTTTATCCTCAATATTTTTAGAATCTAAAATGGTCTTTGAAATATCCTCTCCTCTAAGTCCTTACTCATCACTGTGCTTGTGCCTTTTCTCCATTGAAGAAAACATTTACTGTAAAATTAGTAATTATGACTAACAGATGGCTTCTTATCTTGGCCAGGGAAGGTAACAAAGCCATTTGCATTTTATTGCAATTAATCAGCGCTGACATGCTATCATGTTTCCTACTGGATACACTTCAGGCTTGATTAGAGCAAAACATACTGCTTGGGGAGATGAGCACTGATGGAAAAAGAATGTTCTATCTCCACCCGGAGCTTCAAATCACCATGGAAGCTCTCAAGGGTTCTTAGCGTTATAATGTGGCATGGAAGATTTCATTGATATTTCACCCATTCAGCTAAGTTGTTGAATTACCAACTGTAATTAGTGCCATCAAATACATATATTCCTATAGAAATATAGCAACAACTGGAGCTATTTAACTCAGTGCAATCTAATTCATAATTTCCTTTACAGCCGCTTACGTTGATTTTTTTTTTAAATAGTATTTTGAATGTGAACTATTCACAACTGGATATTTGAGAGGCTAATTTACCCCTAAAAATGTGCTGCTTTCTATATTATATATTTTTAAATGCAGTTATTAGTAGCACTTTTACTGGATAGCGTTGCATATTAGCTTTGAAAGTATTCTTGTTATCATTTCATATCCTCCAAAACTTCTAAATTAAACAGCATTAAAATGAAAACGAACAAGACTCCAGCAACCTCATGAAAATTGTCGTTCTAGATTGCTTTAAAAAGAAAGGCTAGTAATCAAACCAACACAGGCATAGGAAGAGTCTTTATGCTGACCTGCTTAAAGTGGTTTCATCCTTACATACAATATCCTTATCTAGTTGTGATGCAATCAGTAGTTCCTGCTAAGATTGAGCTGCAGAACCCGACACCCATCAAGGTCCTGAGTGGCATAACATACAGCAACTATTAGACTTTATGTGATATAAAGAGCTAACGCCTTCACACATCTAAAATGTACAGTAGTCCTCGATTTAAAACAGTTCATTCAGTGACCATTCAAAGTTAAAATAGCATTGACAAAAGTGACTTATGACCATTTTTCACAGCTATGACCTTTGCAGCATCCCCAGGATCATGTGATCAAAATTCAGACGCTTGGCAACTGGTTTATATTTATGACCGTTGCTGTGTCCCAAGGTCATGTGATCGCCTTTTGCAACCTTCTGGCAAGCAACTTCAATGGGGAACCAGATTCACTTAACCACTGGGTTAATTTATCAACTGCAGGGATTCACTTAACTATGGCAAGGAAAGTCGTAAAATGGGGCAAAACTCACTTAACAAATGTCTCACTTAACAATAGAAATGTTGGGCTCAGTTGTGGCTGTTAAGTCGAGGACTACCCATCGAAGGATTGCTCCAGCCACATGAAAGGAGCTGTGAAACTGCCACCAGCAGACCAATGGATTTATTAAGGTGGAAGTTCAAACCCAGCTCTGAAATAAAAATTGACATCTGATCATAAGGATGCCTTCTTAATGTAAAAGCATATGTAGTTTTTTTTTTTTTTTTTTTTTTGGTATCTGGTTATTAGTGGAATGGAGATAAGAGCATAACAGGGGGACTTCACTCCCGTCCATTCGCTTGGGATCCCCGATTAGCTTCCTTTGTTGTATTGAAGAAATTGTGTATCGCCACGAGTCACAAACAGAACGACATTTTACTGACTTCATTTGTTGAGGCAGCAGTAGATGACTATGATGCATCTTTCGTTCATGTCGTATTTCTATCGTCCTGAGATTTAGGTACATGGACTGGTGTGATAAAATTATTGCACATGATACATGTTTCCCAAGGGGGCATTATGCAGTTAAACAATTTTGGGTTATGTGTTCCACCTTGCTTGTGAATTATTGCATCACCAAAATGTTGTTGACGACTATTTTGTTCACTTGGTTTTGAAAGAATGGTTCAAAAGACTGGATCAGTTCCTTGACGTGAACTGATTTGAGAAGATTTCCTCAATCGTCGAGATATCCATTTAACTATGTACACAGGAAAAGATGGCTGCAATTTAATCCTTCAATTAGATCTTTATGATTTATCCACCTTGATAAAGAATCTTTGTGGCAAGATTATTTTCTTGAGATTGCAATCAAATAAAAGCTGGGGGGGTGTATTTTCCTTTTTGCATCTAACCAATGACCAAACCAGGATATGCTCAAGTTAACAAATGGCAAGTTGTTTGGTAGTCAAGGTAGACTGTGGTGAGGGGGGATGACAGCTGAGGCATAGCATTTGGATCATCCTGGAAACTGTGCCAGGATTAAACTAAATTGAAATTGTTGGTCCTGCTGCCAAAAGTGCTTTCTTCCAAAGTAATGCCTGCAAATGGGACTGTAAGTTCCAAAGGACCACCTTTATAAAACATTGACAATGTAGACTTATCTTGATCTTTATAGCACCTTCAGGAATCAGAGGGAGTGGCCATCAGTGGCATACTTAAGTCATATATTTGCAGAACAGTGTTTTTGTTATCACATGCTTATAAACCTGTAGGAAGCATATAACTCATTAAATATCTAAAACTATCTCCTCTGCCTTTTCCTACTTCTGCTTTTTTTAAATCCCCTTACAAAAACAACAAAAATGAGTAGAAAAATAATAAAATGACCCCTTTCTCAGCCCTCTCCAACCAGACACAGTCTCTGCTGCTACTGCAGTGACTGAAAATGAGATGAGGAGATTGTGCAACCACCCCTTATAGGATGTGCACAAATGGCTTGCTTCTTGCAAAATTTTACAAAGCATTAAGACAACTTCCAAATGAAGTTCTGTGCCTGGGTATCTCTGTGGTGGAGAAAGTGTTGTCAAACACTCAAGCGTACCAGGAGTCTAAAGCAATACAATTTAACAAGGCAAGGGAATGGAATGGAATGGGAGAGGAGAGGAGAGGAGAGGAGAGGAGAGGAAAGGAGAGGAGAGGAGGGGAGGGGAGAGGAAAGGAGAGGAGAGGAGAGGAGGGGAGAGGAATTAGAATATTCTTTATTGGCCAAGTGTGATTGGACACACAAGGAATTTGTCTCCGGTGCATAAACTCTGTGTAGATATAAGCAACAAAATGATAAATCATAAGATACAACCAACAAAGTGATAGTCATAAGATACTAACAGGAGCAGGTAATAGGAAAGATGAGACGGATAATAGTAATATAGCCCTATTACATGGTTAGATATCCTTAGGCATAAATTAGTGCTGTGGGAATTATGTGTTTAGCAGAGTGATGGCATGGGAGGAAAACTGTCTTTGTGTCTACTTGTTTTGGCATGCAATGCAGCTCTGCAAGGGAAGGTTGCACAATCCCCTCATCTCCTTTTCAGTCACTTCTCTGTGCTTGGTTGGAGAGGATTAAGAAAGAGGCCATTTTATTATATTTCCACTCATCTCTGTTCTTTTTGTAAGGGTGAAAAAAGTGTACAACAAAGATATACAACTGAGTAATCTTAGTTGGCAACATTTTTTAAAAAAAATGTTAAAATTTGCTGAAGTAAAAGGTTTTCAGTAAAGTTTGCACTTGCTTTTACAGCTATAGTGAAACAGCTACTATTCCTGCCAGACTGCTTGCAAAGAACTGCAATATGAATTAACAGAATCAACTCAAATCTAGATTTCTTTGACTCGAGGGCACCACTCCAGTTCTTGAAGGTTACTGATTTTAAATGGATTTGTTCCATCCTTCATGAATGCATCCCTCCGTGGTTGGAGATATTCCATTACACACAAACAAATGAATAATTAGTCAAGGAAGCTATAGGACTTTAGATATTCTGTATTTGAATACTAACTGCTAAGGCTTCATGAAGACTGTCTATATCTTACTGAATACTGATAGCCTCAGCAGCTGTCATGGTTTGAAGCAACACGCCTCCTATAAAAAGACCATGGCCATAAATGATCTGGTATACATTTATTAAATTAGACAGAATGAGAAATAAGTTGTATAATGCAAACAGCTGAATGTCAATAAGAGTAATAAAGAAATGTTTTCAGAATTACAGCAAAACACCCTCAGTACAGCATTACAAGTCAGCCAACATAGGCAATAATATCTAAAAAGGGAAACGCTTAGAATCATCAGCACATAGTCAGACAGAATTGGATAAAAGGTGGCAAGCATCTAGCTAGGCAAAACGTTCCTGAATTTCACTAGTCTTGGATTCTTGGTGGGTTTAAAGCTACTGTGGGCTGTGTAACAAACTGCTGTCACAAAAAACATAATGAAAAATGCAAGGAAGAGTTTTGTGCTGCCTAGCATTTATTTTAAGTGGCAGATAACTGGTGCATTTCAGTTCTACACCTCAGAAATCTGTATCCCAACTTTACTCACAATGGACTGTGAATTTCACTGAAATCCATGAGAAGCATTTCCATCTTTGTTTATAGAATCAAAGTACATCCAGGAATGATCACAAAAACATGGATGTAACTGTAACAATGCTTGCATCCTACCCTTTTGAACATGGGTGTCAAACTTGCCACGTCACATAACTTTTTTTTTTGCACTGACGCAGCTTGGGTGAGCGTGGCTTCCATATCATGCAACCGGCCTGCATGCCGGCAGTTTGACACCTCTGCTTTTGAGAATGGACTACTCTATCATTGGAAAGCTCTTCATCCAGCAGAGCTTTCCAACTGGCTAAATGGCAAAATGAAAGCCAAGGTCTTTGCCAGTTTCCTTCCCCTCAGCCTCCAGATTTACCCCTTTACCCCTTCCAAGTACCCTGGAAAAAAAACAATGATAAGGATTCTTCTAAAACACCCTTCTAAAAATATCCTTGTCAGTGGAAAAATGCTGATCAGATTTCTGTGAATAGCTCTATTAGCAGGAAAACCAAACAAATCATTAGATCTACCTGAAAGTGGATTTATTTAACTTCAAAAAGAGCAAGAATACAATTCATTGATATGCTCTTTAAAACCTTCCTCACTGTCCATCTCTGAGTAAACTTAAGCATCTAGAAGTGGGTCTAAATTTTCTTTAAATTTTGCAGCAGATTTATGAAGAATCTTCAGAAGTCTATCCGGATGTGCACCGTGCATACATAAAAAAGCAGCAGAGGTTTGGAGGCTCAATAAATATCCAGAACTCAGTCAATGTGCCAACTATCCGTGCAGAAATGCATCTCAAAACACAAACACAAGACTTTAAAAGGTACATGAAGTAGCTGTGCCAAAGCTTCAGCTGAAACTACTTCATAGCTTGCCACCTCCTGATCCAAAAAGACACTTCATTCACAAGTGAAGCATCACTGAAAAATCTGCATAGCCATATTATACAGCTCACGTTATTCCACTAGGATAGTACTATGGTGTATTCCAGATTTTTGGCTCATTGCTTCTAATTAATGAAATATCTTAAGGGTCTTAGCTAAACAAATTCACAAGAATTCACCAATGTATTACTGATATATGACTGACATTAACTGTAACATTAATCTGAACGTACTGCAAAGTATGGAGAAAGGAACACAGTTGATTTTCAGATGGACACACACCTCTTCTGGAGCTTCTGAAAAGCACTTATTTCATGTAAAAAGCAACAGAAGGGGAAAGGAATGATTTAGCATTCACAAATACTAATCTATTAAACTTATGGGAGTAAAATAGCTACAATTTAAACAAAGCAATAAGTGGATCTGATATTGTATTTAAAATTATTTTCTCAATATATTTTAACAATTAAAAAAATAAATATTTTAACTATAGCTAGCTCTGCCAGGAGTTTTCATGATGATACTATAAAGCAATTCTAATAGACCTTTTCTATTAGAGAAAAAAAAAGCGTGAAATAATGAGGTTTTTCTTCTTTCAAAGCAATAAATTTCATGATCACCTTGATGCCTTATTGTCTTCAAACACTTTAGGAAATACAAAGTATGTCTGGCAATTATAGACAGCATTTAAAAATGTTTAAAACAATAAAAAACTCAAATAGCATGTAAAGTGTGTCTATTAAAGTGCATTGTTTCACTTTTCCCAACTTTAAACAAATATAAACTTTGTTACCTCCAACAGATCTACAACTCTAATAGAAAATTATTATGTACAGCTTCTGTATATTGGGATTGTACTCTAAATGTGGCAGGTCTTTGTTTGTGGCAATGAATTGTTTTTATATGCTTCGCCTTCAATAGAATTAAGATTAATTGGACCTTAGGAAATTACAATAGTGAATATTCCATTGAAATGCTTTTTAAAGCATCATTGTTTATAACAACTGACCACAAGGAAGTATATTACATTGGTAATGCTGAATTTCTATGGTATAACATTCCACTGCTTTAATGTTATGAGTTTCTCACAATTATAGGAGCAAACAAGCATAAAAACACATCAGGAAGATTTCTGTCCCCTTCTGGCATACAAGTAGTCCTCGGGTTATGATAGCAATTGTGACATTAAGCAATATGGTCATAAAATGTGACACATGTGACTGCGTCACTTAGCAACAGCCATTCCAGTTGGTAAGCAAGGACCTCACACGACCATGATGTGGAAAGAGGCACTGAAATGGCATCCCAAGCAAGCAGGGAAAGGGTAAAAGCTATGGGCAGGCTGGTGGTGTGGTTGGGCACTACAGAGCTCAGGTAGGCAGGTGCTATGGGTAGGTTCTACGGAATGCAGGTGGGCAAGTGCCATGGGAGACAGAGTGTAAGATCTTCATGCATCCGGGGGCTCCTCGGGAGAAAAAGTGGTGGCGGCAGAAGCGACTTACAATAGTAACTTGTGATCTCCTGCCAGTTTCCCCAGACTTTGCTTGTGGGAAGCTGGTGACTGCAGAATGCTGCGACGGCCACAATTTCAAGGACCCCATTATAAGTCCCCCTCATTCAACACTGTCATAATTTTGAATGGTTGCTGAATAAGTGTTTGTAGCCCAAGAACTACCTGTATGTTTCTGTGTCTTACAAAAGGAGAGTTTGTAATTTCAGAAGCACAGCAGCACTTCATTAAACAAATAAAAAAACCATAAATACATTGCATTGGTGCCCAATTAGTAGGTTGAAAAGTGATTTCTCATTAGTAAAACTGTGAAAGTTGCAATAAAGCTAGTATTCCATAGAAATTGTCTTAATGTTCAAATATCACTAAACATTACAAACTATGTAATCTTTTTTTGTCTCACATAAAGGGACTGCTTAAGAGAGAGTTTGCTCTTTAATAGCACTTTATGGAACATCAGTCTCCCTCATCCCTCAACTGATACTCTCCCCACTCCCTGATTTCAAATGTATAATGAATAACAAGTGGAGGAGAAACTTGGTTGGTTTTGGAACGCAAACTAAAAAAGGGGGGAGAGGAATTGGCAGAGGTATTTCAACACTACCTTTCATCAAAAATGTGGACAGAATAGAAGTGATAGCTATAAAATGGCTGAGATTTCTGTAACGTTATTTGTAAAAACCAATATTCCAGTGAACACCCATGCCAAAAATGGATCACAGCCTCTCAGATAGGTTGCTGGCTTGGAAATTTTTTTTCTAACTAAATTCCTGGCTTGGCAAATCAAAATTAAAAGTAACAACGATGAAGGGTAGTATGAGAATGATCTAAGCCTCTTCTGCAATTTGAAGCAAGGAATTGATAGCAGCATCCTTGTTCCCTCTCTGAGCTTCTAGTACTGAACGGATTACTTCTCTGTCCATGTTGGGGAACATGTCCTGGATAGATTTTAGATCCTCTTCATTACATACATGTTGGGGGTTGATTGCAGGTGGTGGAACTGCCACAGGAACCATGCCTGGGTTACAAACAGCAGGCATCCCTGGAAAAAGACAAAGAATGGAGACTGATTGGAAAATACAAAATTCTAATAAATTTAAATGTACTGCAGTGTGTAAAATCTTCCCTTTAAAAAATTCAGTTAATTCCAGACAGATAGATAAAAAGCATTTAAGCAGGTACAATAAAACACCAGATACAATTCTAGATCATTAAGGTTATATGAAAGATGTTGGTGAACATTAAACTGGAGGCGATAGGAGTTACAGAATATAATAGTCGATGAAAGCTGTTCTCCTAGTACATCATGAAACAAATAACTTCCCATCAACCACAACAATTAACCAAAATCAAATTGGTTTAACTCCTAGTAACTTTATAATAATATATCTTCTTGCTGATATCCAAATCATCATTCTGTTTGTTGATCATCGGTAATCTGAAACTTCATTGATTTACATAGTACATAAATATTTAAAAGATACCTTCTAAAAATGAAGTATTATAGAATGTTTATTCAGATTATGTTAAACAAAATAATGACTTTTACTAGAAACCCTGATTTTGTGAATCTTATTGACTAATAGTTTTAATAATTAAATTTAGTTTTCTTAACTAATGATTTAAATGATGATGCCTAACCTTAAAACTTTGTTGTCCATGGGGTCGCTATGGGTTGGACACGACTTCACAACTAACAACAACAAAACCCTAAACCTTTGCAAGTCAGGCAGATGTAGGAGATTGGACTCCTCCTCTGCTTTTAACTAACTGGAATTCATTCTGGGACATTTAAAAGAGTGGAAATTTCCATGAATTTAAAAATTAGCTGTTTGTGCTACAAACCTAAAATAACTATTTAGCTCTGTGATATGCTCACATTTATAATGTGAAACCACCTCTGAAACTAAAATATTTTTCCTAAAGTCTATGAAGAGTTGGCTCAGTGATATTTGTAATCAATGCAAGCAAGATGAACAATATAGCAAATTATACACTAGAAGAGAGTACTGATTTTCAAGAACTATCAGAGTAAGAAAAGAAGGAGTGCATTCAAACAGCTCAAGAGATCATACTATACCTTGTCAGACAAGGTTTACACTCTTCTGTTTTAAACAGTATGGTTCTTTAAGATGGTTGACCATTTAAGATGGTTGCCAACTTCTCAAGGAAATTAGCCAGGACTTCCATGAGCCCCTGTATCCTGCATTGATACTTCCTGCATATCAGTCCTGCTTTGCAGTAATGAAAAGATTAAAAAAAATGACTATTTTCCAATTATCTTCAGAATGAATCAAAGAAACTGGCAAAGGAAACAAAAGTTTGACAAGGATAGGGGAAAAATGGAAAATATATAATTTAAAGAGACTGATACACAATTAGTAAGAATTGTTATTTTATCCTTGGAAATATAGTGAATAAACCAAATTTGGCTATTAAGAAAAACCCTTAGCACAGTTGGTTTCTCACTACTGAAAAATTAATAATGTCAATAGAAACAGTATAATAATTATTTCAACTTCTGAGTTGAAGTTGAAATTATTATTTTAATTCAGGCACCTCTTGATAACGGTGAGTGGCTCCCAATGTTAAAAAAAGAAGTTAAAATAAAGAATAAGATTGTATTACAAAATTGTATTGTGCACTTAAATCTTGTTTTTATATTTGAGGGAAACCTCTAATACTGATAGTTATTAGATTTGCTGATAAGCTTCAAATTGATGGAGTGGGAGAAAAAAAAATTAACTTAGTCCACAAAACCTTACTTACAGAAGCTGTTCCCTTAATATTTGGATTAGCAATATAGGTAGTAATCCAGATTTTTACAGACCATAATCCAATGTTATTCTGCATACAGTTTTCTGTAGTGCATACAGTATACTGCTATGTATATAGTTTTACGGCATATACCAAGATTCTTAAAGAAAAATCCCAAATAGATGCACAATTATAAATCACCCGTATAAGAGCAACCTCCCATTAGACACATTCTCTTTTAGAAAACCATAACTAGGTATTTTCAGATTTACTCTACCGCTAACATTAATTGCACCAGGCTTTACAAAAATGCCAACTCCTCTTGTGCCTCTTTTCAGTTCAAGTAACTTCATTCTGAAAATCAATATAGCCAATTAATGCAAACTAACATTAAAATGTGTTTACATCAAAAGACACTTCGATCATTTACCAAATTGGTTTTTTAATTTAAACAAGCAAAGCAGTACAGAATAATCAATAAATTGGAAACAGAATGGCCCATAGTCCACTACTTTCCATTTAAAAAGTGCTCTTCAAAGTTTATAAAATTAATTTGGCTTTGAGTGCATCAGGGTGGCTATAGTGAGAAGCATACAGATATAAGCAAGGGCACTTAAATGAAATGAAAAAGTAAAAAATGGCAATGGATTTGATGATACATGATATTTTTACAAGGCAACACTCAGTACAAAAAATTAATCAATTTATATTGTGCAGAAAAAAATATAGACCTTAAAGACAATATTCTAATACAGTCAAGTGCCCTGATATCCTGATTATCTTGTTTCACCACTTTTTATCCCATAGGGGAAATATAATATTTGTGAAATATTTTCAAATGTATTGAAGAGGGAGAGAACGTTCCAAGTTTGATTATTAGCTTTGTATCTGATTCAAATGCTGCATTATTTTATTTTCTTGGGGAAGGGGTCCCCTGCCCAAACTCAAATTTATGATGAATACTAAACATATATTATAACCAGACAAGGAGATTGTTGTAGTACTTTGCAATTTCTTTTACATTTCTTCTTTAGCCTGACTGTTCTCAAATCCTGAAGACTAAGCATTTTATTAATCAAGGGCATTTTGTCAAGACACTTGACTGAACATTTTATACTGTAGTAAGGATGTCACAATACTGACTTTTTAATGATGAATTTAATACTATGTTGCAAGAGAGACAGTGGAAATGCAGCTCATTTTTATTCCTTCCTATTTTTATAATAGGCCAAACGAAACTTGTAAAACATGCGAGCTGCAAAAACTAGATGGTTACCAGAACTTTTCGGGGGGTTTTGCAGAGGAATCTAACAACATCCAGATTCCCATAGTAGTGTCTGGGAGTAAACAGGCTTCAATGTAAGCATATTTAAGGTAAAATAAAGCAAATATTACTGTTTGAAATCATTTTTCCCAATTGGACGCTATTTATTTAAATTTAAAGGCTGCCCAACTCCAAACAACTGACAAAGACAAAATGGAAAAAAATCATTCAATTCTGAATATCTGCAAAGGCCAACATAACATCCACAAATCCAAAACCCACATCAAATAAAAGTGTCAAGGGTTCATCAGCTACTCTGCCCCAAGGCCTGGGAGCAGAACCAAATTTTGAAGAATTTTCAGAATACCATCACAATGGGAACCGTGTGGACCTTTGTGGGATACTATTCGAGAGGACAGGTGGCTTAGCAGACAAGGTACACTTCCTAGGTCCTGACAGATGACATTGTTAAGATGAAGGACCTGGAGTATGTCCACTCTGTCCATTCTTATTCAGTGGGCAGAAACCTTTAAAGATAACCAGACCACCTACCATGAAGAGCTTTACAGGTTAAAATCAGCACTGAGAGTTACACCTACAGTATAAGACAACTGACAAGTAGTAGAGTTCACATAACACATGGTACTGGAAAATGAGCATTTTGTAATATGCCCATCACTGCCCATGCACCATCTAGCAATGGCTTCACATTTGCAAATATCTCTAGATGACATGAAAAAGTGAGTAACACTAAACTAATCACTCTGTCTCTCTCTGTCTGTCTGTCTCTCTCTCTCTCTCTCTCTCTCTCTCTCTCTCTCTCTCTCTCTCTCTCTCTCTCTCTCCAAACACACACACTAAAAACAAACTTTGACTTTGAAGAGTACAGCTCAACAGAAAACAACATAATGGAACTATTTGTTAAGGTGATAATACAGAACCTAACAAAACAGAAACTTGCTTCAAGTTAAGTCTACCTCCAAGTATTAGGATGCTCTCTGGATAACACAATGTTACTTCACCACATTCAAAAATCCCGAACAAGTGCTTCCTATATACCAGGCGTCCCCAAACCCCAGGCCTCACAAGCAACAGATGAGCACGCAAAGCTGCATTTGCACAAGCGGTGCATACACATGCTAAACCATCACCTCCCCCCCAACCTACTGCCACCGCCGGTCCGAGGAGCTGGAAAGGTTAGGGACCGCTGCTACATACAACACAAACTTATTTATACTTCAATTCTCACTTTGCTATAGGTATCAACTTTGGAAGAACAGGACCAACCCTATTCATAAAATGTGCACTAAAATGCAGAGTCACTTTTTGCGGAGTAAAGAGTATTGGAAAAAAGACAATGCACATTATTTCCAAATATTTTAAAATGTTTAATAAAATATATAACTGACCAAATTTCTTCCTCTGAAAGTATGACAAGGAAAATTCAATAACTAACTTCCAGAATATTTGCCCTGTAAAAGAAATGTGCAAAAACATTTTAGATGCGTATTTTTTTTTTCTAAAGTTTAGCAACTGTTCTAAATGCTGGGCTTTTTCCAGGCTCCAAATAAAACAGATCCATTTTTAACATTGCTTACTTGCAATGATTCAAGAGTCCAGAGTCCTTTAATTAGGTTGGTTTTTAATGTATATTGTCCAGCTTTGCCAGTCAAGTAGCAAAGACAGTTCCATCCTCATTGCCAGAGAAGGAAGAGGAAAGGCCAGGCAAAAACAACAGTGACTTAATCATCTCCTGAAACACAGGCAATGGAAGGTCCTAACCACCAAATACCGTTTCCCCCAAAATAAGAGCTAACCGGAAAATAAGCCCTAGTGTGATTTTTCAGGATGCCTGTAATATAAGCCCTACCCCCAAAATAAGCCCTAGTTATGATTGTCAGCCAGACGGACATATTTAGTACCGCATTTCCCCGAAAATAAGACCTAACCGGAAATTAAGTCCTAAGGCGTCTTTTGAAACAAAAAAATGATATAAGACCCAGTCTTTATTTTCAGGGAAACACGGGTACCCTTGATCAGACTGTATTGAGCATCTACATTCAGAGGCAATTCCGAATGGCTGATATCAAATCTAAGAACTAGTGAAAATTCTGAAATATCTGCTTATTTGGTTGATAGAGATAATGTACTGCTTTTTATAAAAACACCATGTGCTGGGGACACATTAAAATTCATAGTCTGTGCTCTGTGTGTTGTTTTGGGGGTTCTATTTTATTCTGCGCATCTTTGCTGTTGATCATGGACTATATTGAAATGAAATCATGCTGCATGCTGGAGGTTTGTTCAGCTTTGCAGCTGTTTGTATAAAAAGCCTTTAAAAAGTATTGTTTCCATTCTTATCTATGACTATTTTTTTAAAAAAATATGTGTTTTAGAAAATTCACATCTTGGCCATTTTTCTGTAGATTTGGTGACAGGATAACAATGGTCTTAAATTAAAATCATAATTTATGGTCTTAAAGTCATAATTAACGGAGTTTGAGGCTTTTTTCAAATTCTTGTTGTTCCCTAGAACTAAACACTGGAAATGCTTCAAGCGCCTCAATACATTCCATGTTTTGTTTTGCTGAAACACAGCCAACTTCACTGGAATGTTCTAGCTAAGGCTTATTTTTCTCAAATTTGAAACAGAACATTTTTTTTTGCTTGTTTCATCCTCCCTATATTGTTATCTGATAGCCACCTTATGTTCTTCTAAGAAAAAAATAATTATGATTATACTCTTATTGCAGCTGTAAGGCATATACTTCCAATGAAGATACAGAAGGTACTACATCTTCTGATCTGATAATAATGATTATTAAGTATGTTTATTTAAATCAATTAGATGTATTCATTTAAATAATAAAGTATGTATATTAAAGTATGTATATTGAAGATGAACACATTGAAATTAAATTAAGATTTGTAATTGTTAGATATTTTTTCTTGAGTAACCCACTAGTTTATTTCCATATAGCTATGTTTCTATTACCTACTGAAAATGGAATAAGTTAACTCAGCGGCTCCCAACATTTTCAATATCCCGCACCCCTAGTACGTTTCTGATATATTCTCACACCCCTTACAAAAGTTTGAAATAACGGCCAGAAATTATGCATATACACTATAATTTTGAAAACCCAAGTTTTTGCACCCCCTGGAATATCGTCTCGCATCCCCAGGGGGTGCAAGCACCCCCGGTTGGGAACCCCTGGGTTAACTAATGAGATTATGTATTGTGACATCCTCCTGAAACATTCTGCATTCCAACATAATGCATACCATACAAATAAAAATCAACTTATACAATATCATGCAGAATTCTTGTCTGATGGAAATGGAATGCAAAAAGAATTAAGACAACTTACCCAGAGCAAAATACTCAAGCCCTAAGGACGGATGAAAGTGAGGGAAAAGAATAAGACATGGAAAACAGATATTACTCTGTGTTATATGAGATATACCCTTGTAGGAAGAAAAGTGGAAAAAAATCCAACAATTGCCCTTTAGATCTTAGCACGCTGGCTAAGGAACTCTGGGAGTTGACGTCCACAAGTCATAAAAGGGCCAAGTTTGAAGACCCCTGTCCTAGAGGTTTCATGTAGATGTAAAAAACTAAGAAGGAGCCTTGAAGTACACCCCAAAGCATAGGCCTAGGATTAGACTGCTTACCACTTACCAACGCACATGGAGCTGATCCCAGAGAAAGAGGGGAACTACAATGATATCCCACTCCCAACTCTCAGCTTGTCCAGAAAAATACCAAGATTGATGATACTGAAAGCTTGTAAAATATCCAGGAAGACCAGGATGGATCCACTACTTCCAATATATGCTATCCAATCATCAACAAGTACAACCAGTGCTGACTCAAGTATTATGATTTGGCCTGAAGCCAGATTTAAAAAGATCTAGATATCAAGTTTCTTGATAACCTTCCTTAAAAAGAGAAAGTTGGAAACTGGATGACACAAACATCCAGTTCTGTTGAATTCAGGGATAGTTTTTTCATGGAAGAGGCTAAAGAATATTTTTATATCATTCTAGTCTGTTCTCTTCATTTTGTTGATTCCTCCCTTCCAACTTTCTTTTTCTAACTCAAAAATGTTTTATCAATAAGTTTCTATTTTCAAGAACTACAGAAGACTTATCCATTAAAAAAAACTTGAAGAAATAAGCCAAATATATTAATGATATGATTATATAAAGCTCACTGAAGCATTTATCTGAACATGGGTAGGCTAATGCTGAGTGGTGGACAAAAGCATGGATTTGATTCCTATCTGTATTCATCTACAAATCTTCATGTATCCTGCATGAAATTCTAAAACACATTCAGCTGTTGGATACAGTACTGTAAATGTAAATTAGCTGCTATTTGTATATCAAAGGGAACATTTCATTTATCTGACAAAAGTGAGCACATATCCTAATAACTTATGCCACAAGAAATTTGCTTTTTTACACTACAAGATTTGCTAATTTTTTTATTCAGGTAACTAACATACATTATTCTATTTATTAATTCAATTTCTCTAATGCCCTCTTACAAGACTCAGAAGAGCATACAAATAATAAAACACAGTATCACTTCATCATCATAATCACATAAAATCTGTTAATTCTTCCAGATTTTTCTCCATTTGCCTCAGATGGCTCTACCCAATTACCAACCCTATTTAAAACTTGCATGCTCATCTTGCTGGCCTCTGAAATAATATGCCATCCTTCCTTCCCTAAAAATATCTAGGTTATTTTAAATAGGGCTTCCAAGCAAGAATCCCCAGCTAAAATCAATCTAGAGAAGTATGTGTTCTTCACCACTTTTTTTAACACTTGGTAGGGTAGAACCTGTGCTTGTACCAGCACTTAGTCAAATTCAGTTTTGGTCTTGGGTCATTGCCACTCTATATCTTTTCATACTCTTAATCTTATGAAACCCCTTAAATAAATCATAAAATAATTTGGAATCAGTAAAAAAAAGGGGGGGACCTCAAAAGAGCAATTCTGTTCAATGCCTTGGTCATTTCTTTTTTCCAATTAGTCATGTCACAGAATTGCCTACTAAATCAGTGGGAAAATCCTAATGCCACTCAGAAAATCTGCAGGATCCAATAAGTGCCTGGAGTGGACCATCCTACCTGGATCCTCATTTTATTCATTGGAAAGTTAAAACATAACATCACTCTGTAGAATACATTTTCAAATGAATCCGTGCTTGTAACAAAACAAAAAACAAAAAAAAATCCAGTTCAAAGGAAAAGTCATGTGAGAAGTTCAACATATGGGTAGTCCGCATTTAGCAACTGTCTCATTTAGTGACCATTTGCAATTAGTGATGGAAAAGTAATCTTAGGGCCAATCTTATGACTTTTGAAGGGCTATAGAGCAAAGGAAAGCTGAAGTAATATCATTAGCAGTTACAATTTCACTTAGCGACTGCTTCACGTAATGGCCATATTGCCAGTCTCAACTCTGTCTGCTAAACAAGGAGTACCTATTTTCCATGCATGAACAATTCCACTATGGAACAATTGGATTTCAAGTAGTTCATGCCTAAAGTGAAACACATTTGTTTGGGTCCATAGAATGGAGGAAGAGAGTTGTTTATTCCAGGCAACAGTGGGTTTGGCGGCGGTGGTGGTGGTGGTGGGAAAAGAATGGGAAAAAAACAACCCCATTGGAACCAGCATCTAATGGGGGGAGGGAAAAAGAGAGAAGGGAAGCTGCTGAGAAGACTGAGAGGGTAGACAGACCAGTGAGATATGCTAACTGGGGCATTAGCTAAACAAAAGCAGTGGGAAAAGACAGCTGTTACTATTAGTATGAAAATACATAAATCTCATTTTTTTTAACATTAAACATCCCAAATTAACAGGAATATGTAGAAAAAGGGATGGCAGAATGTGGATGCAGAATGAAAAGGGAGATCAGCCATAAGAGAATTAAGTCCAACCTCCCTTGAGTGCAGTTGACTCTTATTTAATTCTAAGCAGGTGCCAACTATTAGTTGAGAAAATTCCTATGTGCAAGTTTTTAGCAATAAATCATTTCAATTGAACCTTCATCTGTGGACATGGTCTTTCACACCTGACACAACACTTCTTCGTCTCTATATGCCTAGTCAAAAGTTAGTAGGATTACATTTGTGAAACATGCAATAAAATTTCAATCTTTTAAAGTATTCATTCTCAGAAGAACATATTGATGCTCATATATAGTAGCACTAGAAAAAGCAACATTTGGGGGAAAACATCTCCTTGGGAGAAAGTCCCAAGATTACCTATAATAATGTTCCTGACACAGAAAAAGTCAGCATGTAGAATAAAGTAAATACGCAACGTGGTAAGTTTCATCAACAGACAGACATCTATTACATCAACTTAATGTAGCAGCAGCAATATTAAAAAGTAGTTTTATTATTACAAGACACTGAAATGCTACAGAGCCTGTGGAACCATGTGAATGTAGAAGAACAAGACAGGAAAATGCAGTGCACTCTGCCTACCATAACTGTGTTATTTGGAACATATTATTATTAATATTATTAAAAACCAAACCTCAGGCCTTTTATATGCCTATCCTCAATGGGGGAAAAAAAGGAATTCTGAACTGTAGGCTGTCACTATAACATGTGGTAGTTAGTGATATCACAATTACGTTTTTACACAGCCATAATCATAACTTAAACTGGTTTATTTTATCTTGTCCAAAGCTCTGCAGTACATTTAAGAGGAGGGGCCGGTACTGAACTTCTTCTGGTCTCCAAACTTAGAATATTTGGCAGGAGCTTTCAAACAACTGTATCTGAACTGCTGCGGCTTCTTTTTATATTTAAAAAGGGCATACTGGGTTGGGATGGAGGGAAAGATGGTGAAGAGTTTCATGTCCCTAACACAGGGGTGTCAAACTGCTGGCCCGCCGGCCGGATGTGTCATGGCGAAACTGTGCCCATCCATTGCCGACAATGGGAAAAAAAGTCGCGACATGTCACGTGATATTGCGAGTTTGACGCCCCTGCCCTAACATATATTGGCCTTGTTTCTGACCAGCCTGTTTCCTGACAACCAGTCAGACACTCAAGAAATCTTGAGTTCCTAGGAGTCAAAACATCTCATCAGCAGTTCTATACAACATTTGGGACAAACCAAGCAAATCACTTAATCACTAATCAACTTGATGATACCTAACCCTTTGCTTAGCATTATGTGTGAATACACTCTACAGTTTGTGGAAATGAAGTTATTTTGCTTCCAATATTCATAATTAAATAAATAATAATTTGATCAAGTTGAGATAACTTAGCAAGCTGCAGCTAATGTAAACTGGAATTAAAACTTTCTGTCTCCTCTTTCTAGCTGCACTAGCAGGATACAATAGTCCAAAGACAGCCCAAAAATCGTTGAAGCTCATTCTCATAATATGACATTCAGTTCAGAATTATATCAAAACTAAAGTAATAGTATATAAATATTATGTTGGTCTCACTGAAGCTTTGTAGACCACTTGAACAACAAATATGCTTATTACCATCAAATTGTTTCCTCATTCAATATTTCAGTTACTTCAGAGAACACAACTTCTCCCATCCTCTCTTTATGTTTAAATTTTTTCATAAAATTGTTTTTTTTTTAAAGTATGCATTAAAAATGGAAAAATGTATCATACCTGTAATAGGTACATATCCAACTCCTTGCTGATATACCGTTGGCATCAGGACCACTGGCTGGGGCTGCATCATCATAGCAGCTGGTAAAGACTGGATTTCAAACAAGAATAGAAAAAAGGATATTTTAAAACATATGCTACAAAAAAAGGCAGGCAGCAAGAAAAGTTGTTGCATAAACTCTTCAATTGAATCAGTTATTTACATTACAATTAGTAACAATTTGAATCAATAAATTCTGTAACAAGAATTTAGTGGCACAAGAAAATTCAGGGAAATGCTCCTGAGCCTATATTTTAAAGGAAAGTATTATAATTTTTACACAGAGTTCAAATTAGTTTAATCAGTTTTGGCAAACTTAAAACAGCTTTAAGTATTATTTTAGGTGCCTTAACCATTAGACCCAACTGGCTCTATTAAAGCTTCCACAATAAAAATACATATTTTTATTTAGTTAGCAATTTTATAAATTTGATGTTTTAAAGAAAGCATCTATGTTCAAGAATACAAACAATACAGAAAACTACATAACTTTACTATCCCCTATCAACATCCACCCCGTATTATTCATGAAGGTTAATTCGAATTTTAGAAATTATTCTAAGAAGAGTACAATAATATAACTTAAAAACTACTTAAGTGTGTGAATGAAGTAATGTGCAACATTTGTGCATATGCAATTGAGAGCAGTCTTTATTAAAAATTCTAAAATTTTACTCATTTCTTAAGTTTTCCATGATTTGTTTTGAAGAAAAACTGTCACCGTTCCATTGGTATATCTTAATATATGAATACTCTATAAATTTAAGAAAATAAAAGTTTGGTGATTCAGTGAAAATTTGGAATGGAAACCTTATCACGATCACATCTGAATAAGTCATCACTAGCTAGTAACAGTTTCTTCCTCCCTTGTTTTCAATTTAACATTATTTTATGATCCATCTATTCAACTGCTAACTAAAACAGCTAGCTTAAGTTGCCTAGCTTACCGTGTAGGACATGACCAGATTAATCATTCCTTCTTTGTCATCTCCCTGCCTTCCACTCAGGCTATACCATTCATCTTCTACTTTTCCTTGTTTCAGTGACTCAGGAATAGTAATATGGGTCCAAGCAATGCGATCATCTATTGAAAAAGCTCTCTGAAAAACAGGAGAAAACTAAATAGATGAAGAAGTATATTCCAAAAGATGGTTCTCCTAAATGCTAGATCAGATGAGGTTACATAAAATTGAAATCCTTTTTTTCAAAAGCAGATTAATTTCTTCACAGGTAAGTAATTACATCAATTTATAGGGGGAAATATTATATATACACTAGCACAGTTGCACGCGTGCCAGAGGTGGCATTCAGAGCCCTCTCTGTGGGCACACAGGCCATGCCCTGGAGATGGCAACCGTCCCTCTTCAACCAGCCACCCACTAACTCGCCAAGGTCCCACATGGCCAGATGCATCCCAGCACCCATGCGCTCGCTGGCCTCTGTGTGCAGAGGTCAATGGTGTCAGGCAGCAGCCGCCCCTGCCACACCTTGCCCTGTGACAATGGCACCCTCGCCCTGCCTCGCCTCACCCCGCAGGACGAGCTTCCTGCCCACCATCCTACCTGGCAGAGCCCCCCTGGATCTCCCCCAACCCTGCCCGGCCCCCATAGGTGTCCCTCCCCACAAGCAACATCGAGGTGATCACACCCACCTTGGCCACTCCCACCCAATCTGCCATGACCACCACAGCCACGCCCACCCAGTGGACCACGCCCATCTGGCACCCAGCGATAAATAAGTGGGTTTTGGGTTGCAGTTTGGGCACTCGGTCTCTAAAAGGTTCGCCATCACTGCACTAGCAGATAAGCCCATAATTTTAGGTGACAAAATACACCAAAATAATTGAGTTCAGCTTACCGCTGATGGACTTATCCATATGGTAATACTTTTAAAGCAGTCATATATCTCGTCTATACCTGCATATAAGTCTACCTGCTGCTAAGAAGAGCCTTGAATTTTTAATCAAAATGCCATGAAATTATCTGTAGATGGCTCATCTTCTTGCGATATTTTTGTGGCATTTTGGTTACAAATTTGAGGGTGAGCTTACTTGCAGACAAAAAATTAAACCAAGACCACATGAATCACATTGGTTGAATTCCTGCTTTAATATGCCCAGCTATATCTACTTTCCAGACAACGTCAAGTATTAGTATGATTATATGAAAAATATTCCATTGCTCAACACACGAGAAAGGTTAGATGTATTTGAGAAGCAAGCTTCAAAATAGATAAAAAAAATCTCTACTTTTGCTCATATATGTGCAGCTAAGCATACAAATAAGGCTTTTGTTATTTTTTTTTAATCTCTACGGAAGACAAGCATATTTTAAATGAAGTTGCTGAGAATTTTAGTCTCTATGGATAAGATCGGTAGCAACCTTCACTTAGTCCTTCAGGAGAAGTAAGAGGAAATTTGAGACACTTCCAATCTCTAAATTGCCATTTAGTTTTCTATAGCCAGATAAATATACATTATTCTTCATTTTTTCAAAGGGGACTGACATAGAAGACAATGACTGACAGAGGAAAAATAGTCAATCTTAAAAAGAGAATATTTTTTTTTACTATAATAAGTCACCTAGTTTCACAAGTCGTCCTACTATTGCACATTTTTTTTCTTCCCTTCAATCGTGTCCGATTCTTGGAGACTCTCTGGAAAAGTCCCTGCCATTTTCTTGGAAAAGTTTTTCAGAAGTGGTTTGCTTACACTTCTGTGGAGTGACTGGCCCACGGTTACCCAGCTTGCTTTGTGCCTAAGGTAGAAATATGGTCTCTTGGTTTCTAGCTTGATGTCTTAACTATCACACAAAACTGATTCTCTAGGAGAGCAGTGTCAAACTGCCGGCCCAGGGGCCAGGCGCATCACGAGGAAACCGCGCCCACCCAGCAATGGGAAAAAAATTCCGATATATCACGTGATGTCATGTGACGTTGCAAGTTTGACATATCTGCTCTAGGACATGTTTTGGCATCTTATTTTCCTTCAGATAAAGCAAAGCAGTGATGTATATTTTACAGTACAGATTTGAGTGAAGAAAAAGTAAAATGGAAGTTATCACAAACCACACAGAATAGGGTTCTTTTTTTAAATTTGTGTAGTAATATTAGATATATCTGCAGAAAATTGTTTTTTTTTAAGTCAGTTACTCAAATAAAATACAATTATCATTGCTCATATTTTAATTCCTGTTGATTTGGAATTATAGGCTTTGGAAATTCAACTGTATGCAATTACATAACATTATCATTTTATACCATCACAAGAATTCAAGAGTATGGTTGGTTTTAGAGAAGCTTCTTTCTGAATTAAGGAGCATATGAAATAATTACAAACTCAGAAATGAAAATGAGAAAAACTGGAATATAGTTGTATAGATAATAGGAAGCTGCATTTACTATAGCTACTCAAGGAAAAAGGGAGAGAAATAAAAGGAATAAGTTTTATAGTAAGTTGTACCATAACAATATCTACTTCAGTTATCATGATAGGATAATAGAAATAATTTATTTATCAGACTTGAACTAATCCTATACGAAACAGTAGGACCTGAACACACAGTGAGAGAAATATATTAAAACAACATTTGTAGGATAAGATCCCAAGAAAATTATAATAGTAATTTCTCTAGGTTTCCCCCAAATCATCAACTACATTCTGCTTTGTGGTATCCTGCTGATACACTTACAGCAGGGAGTATGTGGGAGTTTCTATTAACTGTTGTCCAATTATGGAAGCAACACAAGTGGGAGGGCTGCATGTATGGATATGAAAAGCAATATAGTTGAGAGAAACTGGTGTAGAGAGGCTACGGAGAACTTATCTGTCCAGGCCATGTTAAAAACAATACAAATTCATTCATTCATTCATTCATTCATTCATTCATTCATTCATTCATTCATTCATCAACCTTAAGCTTTTATTCTTCTTGAACAAATGGATTGTTGACACCTGCTGATCAAAATCCTGCATTTCAAATCAGCTGAACCAACAGCGATTTACTTCAAAAAATATGATTATTTCACAAATGACTTGAAAAATATCAGAAATTAATTTGATAAATGTACACATGTACTCTGATCCAATCTGGAATGGTAAGGCATTGTGAAAGTAGTTAAAATATCACCACCACCCTTTTCAATCTTACCTCATCAAATATCTCAAGATAGAAAGAATCTACCCCAGGAGGGACAGTGCACTGAATAACTTTGTTCCATCGAGGATTTTTGGCTCCATTATGAGCAGTGGGAGTTTCATAGACAGCATAACCAAGTCGTATTCTGCAGTATGGGTCCATGCGCGTCATGCCATAGTTTTTTGCCAATTTTGCCTATAGGAAAAACAAAAATCCACACCCATAAGAGGAATGAATTTTTAAGGTATTCTATTATACAAATTCCCAGGCTAAAACATCTACATAAGTCCAACTCAACGTATAATGATTCTCTCAACCATGTAAAAGTTCAATTACATAAATACTGCAATATTGATCAGAACAATAAAAAAAAGTTGTTTTCTACAAAGCTTAAATAAAATCAAGGCCATCCTTCCATAGTGCTCTGGATTGCATACAATGTCTTCAAAGGGGAATATGTTTACATATGGTATATGGGAATTACCAATGACAAAATTCAGAGCAACATAAACAAACATTACAGAGAAATTACCTGGTTGAACAAAATGGCCAGCAGAAAATTATACCCCAAATGATTCCAAAAGACTTGTCTTGTCAGAAAAGTTCAACATCAAATGATAAAACTACTTTCTCCTAGAAAATATTCACTATTTTTTCTTAAAATTAGATTGAAGTATCATAAGTCACAAGCAGAGCTCATTTACTATTCATCCTTTAAAAAACCTGAATTTAAAATAATCCTTCCAAAAACATAGAAAAGAGGCATTTGGTTAATATAGAACCAAGCCCTAAAGTAAAAACCAGAAAGTTTGAATTGGAATTAGAAATGAAGTGGGAGCTAGTAAAGAAAGCTGCGGTATGTTTGTATCACTCAGTTCCAGTTTTGCCATTGTACTATTTTGTATTAACTGAATTTTGCAAACCTTCACAGAAAACTTCATGTATAATATACTGCTGTAATCTAAACAAAATGTATCAGACTACTGAACAAGGCTACCTTCATCCAAGCAGAGGTACAACTATGCTGGAGAACGATGGTTTATGTCACAAAGACCCTGAGTCTCTACTATCAAACATGAATTCAGGAACTCTGCCCCCCATCTCAAGTTATAGCCTTGATCTTTTAAGAGGTAAGCTTAAAGCTGTTTGCTATTTACATAAATAGATGAGGTATTTTCTCTTGTCTAGACTGAAATTCAGTTTTTTGGCCTTGATTACTGCAGCCAGGCATTTAGTCAGCACTTTTACTGCTTCTCCTCAATCTGATATAAAGTACAAATGGAGCTGACTGCCATTAGCCTAGAGATGGCATTTATTCTTAATCTCTCAATATTCTTATCCAGCTGTTCATGTAGGCCACGGGTGTCAAACTCGCTGCCTCACGTGACGTGTCGTATTGTGACTTTTTTTGCATTGCCAGAGCTGGGGTGGGCACAGCCTCCATATGATGCAACCACAGCAGTTTGACACCCCTGATGTAGGCAATCAATATGAGGGACCTTGCAAAACCCCATGGAATAAATATGATGGGGTCAAACAGAAATGTCTCATCACCATCTTTTGGAGATACCTATCTAAGTATGGGCAGAAGCACTTCAAGTCTGGTCTATCAACACTTAACTTGGACAACTCCTGTAGAAGGATGTCACGGTTGACAATACCAAAAGCTACTAAAAGATCAAAAGAATCAATAGGGTTGTACCCATAGGTTTCAGTAAAGATCATCTAACAGCAAGTAAGGGACTTTAGCGTTTAAATACAAATTGAAAGAGCCCTGCAAAAATCTTCTTCATCCAAGAATGTCTGAATCTAAGCAGCTACCAAGTGTTTAGATACTTTGCCGAGGAAACTGATGTTGACAACTGGACTGTATTTAGATCTTCTGGTTCCATTTTTTTTCCCAGAAGTAGTCTCTGTTAATGAAACTGAGACCAGTCCTTTGTATAGGAAGGAATCCGTAACCTCCTGGACCACATTTAGATATTTTATATACCTGATGTTAGATGATTAAAAACCTAATAAAAACCACACTAGCTAAATGCATATGTTCATAACAGAGACTGATTAATGATTTTAGAGATAGTTTGCACTACTGCAACTTTATACAATTCTAAAAATAATTTATGCTTACTACTGCATATAATTTGTGTTCCCTGTAAGAGCATTACATAATGATTATTAATCAGGAGCCAGTGATGCTCTTTTAATTTTATCAGTTGGCATAGAAACTTATATTTTAAAGTATACTTTTTAAAATACCTGCACTACAGTGATACTTAGTCTCCCAACAGTACCCATTGCTCCTCCATATTGTAATTGTTGAGCTGCTTGAGCATCTAATTGGATTTGCTGTTGCTGCTGTGTTGGGGTAATACGAAGGAAATCTTGAGGAAGTTCACCAATATATACCTACAGAGGAAAACACATATACCAATTAGATAATACTCTCTGCACTCTCATCCATTCTACTGCCTTTTTATAATGTACCTATTTCCGATATTCCATTTTTTTCTGATTCTAACCATTCTTTGTATTTCACATATACTATATGGGTCAGATCTTTAAAATGATTCCTACAAGGCTGTATGATTTCACTTCATTTTATTTTAGAATAATTTAACATAAAAGTAAACATACTGCACAACCCAGAACGCTAACTGCCATCTTAATCAATACATATAGTCTTTGTTTAGCAATTGCTTCAATAGAGGCCGACTCACAATTATGACTGCGAGGAAAAAGTAACTTGCAACGAATGCATACATTTACAACATTTGCATTATCTCTTTCTTAACACGTGTTTGCACTGCCCTGTTGCTGACCTGCTTTCCCCTCCTCACCTCATACAGTGGGAAGGTTGCTTAAACAAGCCATCTCTTCCTGAGCTGCTTTTCTCTGCAGCACAGCTCATCCCTAAAAAGTACTCACTGCAAGTTAACAAGCTCAGCTCTATGATCTTAATTACTTGATTAGAGTCCTTTGACTGGCAGCTCAAAAGTGCTAGCAGCTAAGCAGATAGCCTGTGTTCATGAATTTCTTGTGCATATTTCCAACCATGTACCTGTTCATCCTCTTGTAGTCCCTTCCTCTCCAATGAATGCAAATACAAACATTAATTTCCTTCTTGCTACTTATCCCAGCACCAGGGTGAGCATTTCAAATAGTGGAAGAGAGTGGGCAAAAGGGGCTATAAGATTTCCCCTTCTACCCGACTTCCTCACAAGTCTGATACACTTGTGAGGTGTATCAGACAATTTTTTAATAAATCATTTTCAAGATTTAGTATCATCCTAGTGTCTCTCTCTGTGTTCTTGTTCTTTGGTATCCATCCTGCAAATTCTAAACTAAGCATTGACACACAGGTTAATGGCAAAACAAATATAACCTGCTCTTATTTTCATTTGCTTACCCCATACCAAAATGTCCTCAAAGACAAAGGAGAAAGAACTTCAGTTCAGGTGAAGTAAGTAGCAAGAAGCAAAGGAAAGATGAAGTAATTCATTTTATTTTTTAAATAACAGAAAAAGAAAGCAAGAACAAAACACAGAATACATACATTGCCAAAACAATACATTAACGGGTAGTTTTAAAAAGTGAAAAATACAACAGAAAAATACAAAGTATAACATATAAAGTATATGTTGTGTCAACAGTAAGCAGTTAGAATGTAAATATCCAAGTGTATGTATGTGTGCGTGTGTAGTTTTCTAATATATGTATATATAGCTATTGTGCTTTTTTTAACTTATTGTATAAATGAGTTCATTATACTTGTCCATACAAAGTTTACATCTGTAGGCATTCTGCTCATAGTGGCAAGTGTAATTAGTTCAGGACTGAATGAGGCCATGTATTTATCTTTCCAGTGCTTTAATATTAGCCTTTTAGCCATAGTAATGGCATAAAGAATCCATTTACATCCTCTAATTGTCAAATTCCAAGTTAGCATGTATGTAATTCAAAAGAATATTATCCTTTGAAAATGTGAGCTTAGCTGCCCTTCCTGGCACTATATTAACCGTCACTACAAAATTTGGAGCTAAGTCTCAGAATACTCCATAGGCTACAAGCTGCATACATACGTGCTAAAATATTTTTTGGGGGGAAAACTATTGTATCCATTTCTATATTCGATTTATTAATTCTTTATGATTCTTACTATACCCATCATTTTCATGTGCTAATACTCATTCCCAGCACAGCCCCTATTATCATTACCCATATTCCTCATACTCTTTCACGAAGCCTGAATGAAGATAATTGGAACAAGTAAAATATTCTAATACTCTCTTAGATTATAGTATGCATTTATCTATGATTATTAAAAGAAAAACATCTATTGTCATTTAAAGTTAATATCTAGACTTTAGAGGTATTATATCTGAGAGTATAAATACTGAAATTATTTTCACAGCTGCTACTATAAAGTAAAAATAGTTTAAGTCTTTCTTCCATGACAGATCTTTCCTTTTCTTTTGAATTAAAATTGGGAAACTACATTGCATTATCTGTAATGAATATTTTATAATATATATGTTGTCTTTGATTATCAATGAAGCCACAAACCTCAACAGCTGTTCATTTAAAAAAACAGATAAAATACATCTTTAAATTATCTTCAAGTCAGATTAGTATGTTATTTAGAGGGATTATATGGAGTTGCAACGCTTGATTATTTATTCGCTTGCCAAAACAATGTTTTAAATGCTAATGGTGAAGAAAAACATGAAAAGGAAGTTATGAATACTGTTGAAAATAGTCAGTGGTAGGTATGGGTGTTTTAACTGAGAAAATGTTAAAATATGGATGTGGTGATTATGGAACGACTGGGCAAGTAACATTCCTCTAGAAAAAAAATGCACCTTTGACTGACAAGTGGAACAATGCAGTTATTTTCTTGTTCCTCCATATAGGTAGTCCTTGACTTGTGTCTGGCCCCTTAGACCAGGGGTCCCCAATCCTTGGGCTGTGGCCCACTACTGGGCCCTGAGATATTCGGAAGTGGGCTGGGGAAACAGTGGGCAAACATGTGCCCACTTGTGCAAGCGGCAGGCGAGCACGAGTGCACACGTTCCATTTACATGAGCGCCAGGCACGCATGCCCACCGCTCATGCAAATGGAGCTGTGCGCACTTGCCAGCCATTCATGTGAAAGCATCTCCCCCCCCCCCACCCGCCGGTTCACAAAGCCAGAAAGGTTGGGGAACTCTGGCTTTGACAATGACAATAACCAAAAATTGAAAAAAAAAACAAAAAACAGTGAGGGCTATACCAAGCAAGGGGCTGTAGTTATAGATTTTTGTTATTCAATAATCAATAAGAAAAGTATGAATATAAGGAAGAAAATGTATATTTCTTTTTTTGATTTAGCAAAAACAACTAATTAAGTAAATACTGAATTACAGAATGACTTCTTCAGAGGTAAGATTGAAGGTTATTGTGGGAAGTGATAAGAGCATTCTACTATAGAAGTAACATCTATGTGAGAATGGAATCCTTAACAAGTGGTTCAATATTAAGCCTGGAGTAAGACAAGGTTAAGTGATACCACTCAGCTGATTAACACGTTCATGGATAAATATTCATGTAAGGAATGCTCCTGGTAGCATTAAAACTATGGTGGTTAAGAATGTAGATGTGTGTGTTCTATTGCATGACAATTATGTCATGTTGTTAGCTAAATGTCATGTTCTTTAACAGCTGCCCAAATAGAAAGCAGTTCTTTTCCAAGCACAATTCTTAGAGTTCCCTTTACAAAATACATCAAGATGAAAAGAGTATGGGCATAAGAATTTTAGCAATTGTACTATTTTCAGTTTAGGCCCAACATACCCCTATCTAAATTAGGCAAATACTTCCCTATTCTCTTTTCCAGTTTTTTCTATAAACCAATGAGGAGGCCAGTGTCTTTATCAATAACAGAAAAGTTTGTAGTTGGTTGTTCACATAAGTCTGTTTGAATCTTCTGGGAACCAACTCAGATATTGAGAATGATGTGCAGTGATTATTAAGTAGATTTTATTGCACAAGAGGAGTAGCTGCAGAAAAGTATAAAAACCAAAAGTAGTTCTGTTTTATAAATAAAATGGAACGAGCGTCTACAAGTTAAATATAGTACTGGCAAAAAAGTGCAAAAGACATTTATGTGCCTCAGAAGAACGTTCAAATGGGGAAAATGGGAAATGGATTAGAAAAAAAATTAAGCTGCACAAATGTTAGGAAAAAGATAATGAATAGTATATAGACCGTGCTGAAGAATGAATGTCAAACTGAGAAAAAATTTGTGTATATCAGCATGCTTAGTTCTACTGAAGTAAGAGCTGGATGTGTCACGCAAAATATAAAAATTGTATGTAGAAATATATGTGGTAAACTAAGAAGAGAGGGGAGTCAATGGATGGTTAATTGCTGCCCAGAGTTTCTTGGGTACAGGAGCAGTTGTATATGCTGGCTTAATTTAAAATATATAAAGAAAAAGAATAGGTTAAAAAAATGGGATGGATCGCACTGATGAGGCCAATGCATACAATGTGTCGATGTGTAGAAGCCAGAAAAGAACGATATGGAGAAGTTTAATGAATTGTTTATATATAAACTAGATTTAATAGCTATTTCTTATCTCATGCCTTTAATTTATTTCGTCCACTATTTCTTAGAAAATATAAATCACAAGCTGATACATGAACCATACAAATACAAAAGTTTTCTATCTGCACTGTTAGGACTTCTTATATATCTTCAAACAAAGAAACAAAAGCATTAACTTTTATATATTTTAAATATTCATATATATTTTCCCAATCAAATGAAAATGTTTGTATTTGCCTAAATACTATTAGTGTGTGTGTGTGTGTGTGTGTGTGTGTGCGTGCGTGCGTGTGCACATGCGCCTTCAAATCACTGTTGACTCCTGGCAATTGTCTGGACTTGGTCCTATAATTTCTTGGCAAGAATTCCAGAAATGGTTCATCACTGTCTTCTTCCTAGGCATAAGAGAAAGTGACTAGCCGAATTGCAAAACCAAAAACCCAGAAGCAGAAGTATAGATACAGGAAATAAAAATGTGAGTCAATATGCTATTCTGCACTATTCATTTATTACATACCTCTACATCTAATTATTTGAGAAGCCTAAGATAGTACCAAAAGGCAGAGTTCCCCAACCTTTCTGGCTTTGCGAACGGGGGGGAGGGGGAGAGAGGATGGTCCCCTGCAAATGGCTGGCAAGTGCTCACACAAGTGGGGATGAGAGTGTGGATGCACACAATCGCCTGCTGTTCCATGGCCCGATTGCAAACAGCTCACAGTTCACTAGAGGGCCGAGGCCCAGAGGTTGGGACCTCTGCCATAAGGAATGCAGGATACCACAATAAATTTTCTTCTTGAATATATTAAATAGAAATAAAAATGCAGTCAGACATGAGCATCCATCAAGGACCAGAAGGCATAAAGGTGGAATGAAGGTCAATTTTGTATCAACATTTTATTAAAATACAGAAGACCAAATTCATTTATCCTACTTTCTCCCAAATAAGAAATATATTTTATTTGTTTACAGTACTGATATCTGGAATCCTGGTATCTGATACAGGGTTAGGCTGTTTGGTGTTTGTGAGTTTACCTTCGACTATGATTTGCTAAATTTAATCCATTTTGGTTCTCTTTGAAACCAAACTGAAGTCAAAGGTTGAAATAACTACCAGCAAATTGGCTTTCATTATTAGTTTAAATGGTGACAGGGCAGAAGATTAAAAAATCCTAACTTTTCAAAGTTTAAAATACTTCAAATCCTTTTTTTAAAAAAAATAATAATCAAGGAATGTGAATGTTCTGAGATCCTAACCTCTATTTTTATGAAATAAACTTTATATATTAATATATGATTAGAAAGATGTCAGTTCAGTTTCTGCTTAAACACATTCAATGAAGAGAAAGCCACCATGGTTCTAGTTAATTGGTGCCAACGTCAAGACTGCTCTTACTATTTGATTTTTTTTAAAACATTTAACTGCAATATATCTTCTTGTAATTTACAATCATTATTTTGTCTCCAGCTGTGTAAGAGAATAAGGTTTTGATCTTTTTCAAAGTGACACATCTCTTCGAGATGGCTGGAATACTATAATATTGTCTTTCGGTTATCTTTTTTCAAGACTAAACATGCTGAGTTTGCTCTCTCTCTCTTCTCATAAGTTTCTGGTCCTCTGATTATCATTCTGGTTGTTCTTTAAATTGTTCCAGTTTGTGTGAATCCTTTCTAAAATGTAGTAGATAAAACTGGACCCAAGACCTAAGGAAGGGTCCGGACAATACTTCTTGTGATTGTAATATTCCTTGAGATTTGGAAACTGTACATTTGTTGATGCAGCCAAAATTTGCATTTGTTTTTTCTAATACACTATTGCCAAGCAGGTATCCCCTTTAGCTTGATGAGAGCACATTGAAAAAAAAGCAAATACAAGCAGAAGAAATATTACGCTATTTACATTTGTCTCTATTAAAATTAATTCTGCCATTAAGTCATTCTCCACCAGCAATATCATCTTCACTTTTATATCTGTCCTCTAGAACTGTGTTTCTCAACCTTAATAAATTTAAGACATGTAGACTTCAACTCCCAGCATATTGGCTGAGGAATCCTGGGAATTAAGTCCACACATCCTAGTTATCAAGCATGAGAAATATTGCTCTAGAGCAGTGGTTCCCAACCTTTTCTATACCCCGCACCCCTAGAACGTTTCTGGTATATTCTCGCACCCCTTACAAAAATTAGAAATAATGGCAATGAATTATGCATATACACTATAATTTTGAAAACCCAAGTTTTCACACACCCTGGAATGCAAGCACCCCTGGTTGGGACCCCAGCTCTAGAGTATTAGCTAACTTACTTAGGTATGGATCATTTACAAACCTATTAAGTATTGTCACCATTTTTTCAGCCCAAGTAAAATCCTAAAACTTGAGTTCATACTTCATTGGAGTCTGATGAAAACATGTTTGAATATTATTTATGACATTCAATGGATGCACCTACATACTATGGATGCACCTACTGACATATCACTACAAAGTCATATCGCTAAACGTCTAATGGGCAATTTTATCAAGCATTTTGTTCAAAATAAGTAACATTCCCACAATCTAAAAAGTTATATATATATATATATATATAATTTCCCATTTGTTAACAAATCCATGCTGACTTTTAATAATCACTGCCATTTCATTTAAATGGGTTGCTTTATCTATTCTACAATCTTCCAGTACATCCTTTTAAAGAAACATTCAGTCGGTAGAGCAATTCAGTCTCAGAATAAAGGCTACATATAAATTAATCATTAATGAAGAGTGAAGATATAAAATTATATGTCCAATTCTTGGACAAAAAAAAATCCCTTCCCACCCCAAATGTTTGAAAAGGTACTCTGTCCCGGAGATCTGACTATTGTCTTAGATGAAACAGACATGCTTCTGACTAAGCAGAAATAACTGAAACAAGATACTTTATTAGCAAAGTCAAAAAATAAGATAGCCATATCTTGTAATAATAAAAAAAATGTCATTACAGCTAAACTCTATAAAGATGCTTAGCAAGTGAGGGAAATAGAAACGCAACAATATTATCCTTCTTTAAGTCAAGGATTTTTTTTCTCTCTTTTAGAATATTTTCTCTTTTAGAAAATTCTAGATTCATGATGGCACGATCGTTTACTACTGAGAAAAAAAAATAATCTAAACCTGAAAAACTCAAAAGTTAGACGGACCATCAGGCTGGTTTAACTTGAGGAGCTTTTAATGTTACGAAGGCCCCACTCAAGCTCTTGAGTTCTTCCTCGCCCTCCGGGCCAGATGAGTTTGCCTCTGGAAGTGACTCTAGCCCTCTGTGTGACCTCTGACTCCACCTACCGTTCACAAGACCACCGTGGCCCTAAAGCTGCCGGTCCCCACCCTACCCGCCCTTTATGGACACCAGGCTGTCAGCCCGCGCCATGAGCTACGCCAATGTGCCAGGAAAGAAGAGAGGACGGAAGAGGCCACTGCGCAACCCCGAGGCATCCCCTAGAACCCTCCGTATCCTCCCCGTCCCCTTCTGAGGATTAAAAATGGGCGAGGAAATGGGAAAGTCCCCGGCTCTCCAAACAAACACGACTCACCGGGCCCCGCTGTGTACTAACAGTGGTCGCCATGGCGCCACTCGCAGACTCCTTTCTTCTCTCGCTGATCGGCCGAGGCTCCGACAGGAAAACTCGACTGATTTCCCCTCCGTTTCTCTCTCGCCACGCCCCCAAATCCACCGCTATTTAGCACTGCGCTTGCGCCCGAGGCTCCCTTGGCAGCCGGCGCCGCCGGACGAACCGCTATGTAGCCAGGCGCATGCGTCAAAAAGAGGAAATTCCGGCCTTAGAACGTCGTTTTTTCTCCGTCATTTGCCACCGGCCTTTGTGGCTGGTGACGTCGAGATCCCTTGATCGTTCTTCGGAGGGAGCGCGGTACTAGGCGAGGATTCCCACTGAGGGCGGGAGGTATGGAGGGCCTTACTCGGGATCGGCCGAATGTTATGTACGCAACACTGCCGTAGAGATAATTGAAATTATTTGAACGTTTCAGCTACTCGACTTTCTTCTTCGCCGTTATGACGTCACTAGCGCCAGGCACTTCCTCAGAATCAGACCTCGCGAGTAGAAGACTAGGGTCCCGTTGCCTTGACGCCAGGAGTCATCCGATTGGTTGACAGAACCGGGTGGGCGGGGCAAGATAGTGTAACGCTGACTGAGAAGTTGACGCGAACGCGATGCTTTTTGTTGGGGTTTGTTTTTTTTGTCATTGGTATTGACCCTCCTTTTGGGGGGGGGGATTGACGGACTTTGCGACTACTTTAGAATCCCTCTTCGTCTTTCCAGTCACTCCCGGGAGGCAAAAAGGAAGATGTATGCCGAAATAAACAGTACAAAACCCGAGCTATCGTGTTTGAGCATTGTAGCTTTGTCTCCGTGCAACACAAAATAAGAATTAAGTTGATGGAAAGAATCCCACAGACTGCAGAGGGATTCCCTTTGGGGATGTTTAAGAAGGGATTTTTTCCGAAGTAAACACCAAGGGAAAGGGTTTTAGCTGCAGATAAATGTTTACTTTAAAAGAATCGCATGGATCAAAAATATCCTTTTCTAGCTTGCTGCAGTTTGAAATAAAATTCTGTCATTTTTCCTACATGCCTAATTTTGGGCTTGGGAAGGCTGTTCGGCATATAGAAGTAAATGCTAATGTAGAGTGCAGTTCTTGTGTCTGGGTCAGTAGACAGGGTTGCAGTCTAAAATAATGGGAAGGATGTGGCATATATCCTTTTCAACTACTGCAGGGTTCTTCAAACTTGGCCCTTTTATGACTTGTGGAGTTGAAATCCACAAGTCATAAAAGGGCCAAGTTTAAAACCCCTGAACTACTGTATCAATAGACAGCCATGAATTAGAATATCAGCTGTAGTTACCAAATCAGAATATCAGCTATGGGTTACTAAGTCAGTCTGTTGGCTGACTGCTTAGTACCAAACATGTTCATTTCCTTTGTTATCTTGTGCGCTATATGATGAAAACTTAAGGCAAAAGAGAAAAAACAAATGTAAACAGAGCCAAAAGTGGCAAAGGCAGCTGGGAATGGGTGGTTCTGAGGCATCTGTATTTCTATGCCCTGCTTTGCATTAAGCCTAAATACTAGAATGCAAATTGGTGTAGAACTAACTCAGAACATTGATTTCTCCCTTAAAGTATGAATGAAATGACTGCTGCTTCAAAATCACTTTTTGTTTACCTTCTGAAGTGTTCATCTTTTCTGCAACTCCTGTTTTCAGCAGAACAAAGGCATTGTAATCTAAGTGATGTATTGGGAAATCTAGTCTGATGATTTCAAAGTTACTTAAATAATATAACTTTCATGTTGCCAAGATTGGCAATCATTTAATTAAAGTTCATATTTCAAATCCCATCAACCAGAAAGAGAATAGGGCAATTAGAGGTTTTGACATTTGTAATGGATAATTTATGTGACGTACAATAAAAACACGTTGCAGGTACCTGTGTTGTTATGCTGGCTTGAGTAAATTGATTACGATGTAGTGCAATTGAACAAAGATAACATAAAATTTTAGCTGACGGGGATTTTATCATTTAGTCTGCTATATATAAAAGTAAAGGTTTCCCTATCCAGTTGTGTGCAACTCTAGGGAGGGGTGTTTATCTCCATTTCCTAGCCGAGGTAACCAGTGATGTGCAAAAATGCTTCTGTGGTCATGTGACCAGCATGACTACGCACCAAGGCGCACAGAACACTGTTATCTTCCCATTGGTGGTACTTATTTATCCACTTGCACTTACATGTTTTAGAATATTAGATCTTAAAGTATCAGATGGGGGGGATGAAAATTTAAAGGGAAAAACATTTTTTCCAAAAGTTGTCTTTCTGAAAAAAAATTGTATGTAATTTTATTTTAAATGATATATAAATTAATGAAATTGAAAAATAAATTGGTCTATGTTTGAAATACACTAAATCAAGGAGCAAATTAATATAAGAGCTAGAAAAGATAATATAAGAGCTTGTATTAGTCTAGGAGAAAAGTCAGTTTTCAGAAGACAACCAGCAATCCTTAGATTGTAGATTCTAATTCCACTTGTAACAAAAATTACAAATATTACAAACTTCAATTGATGAAGTTTAATATGAGACAAGTTATAAATTTAACATTATATCACAAATAGTTTTTAAACAATCCAATTTTATGTATTAAATTTATTTCCCATCCATGTCACTGTCACCTGATTCTGAGCAGCTTATAAACAAATGTATATATCATTTTGAATAAAATAGATAAATTGGCATAACCAAGTGACAATACATATGTAAAATACATTTAAAATGCATATTTTAGAAAGAAAAAAAAGTAAAGTTTCTGTAAAAAACTAATGACGATTATCCAAGAATCTTTTATGATACTTCTGCAAGGCTTAAACTTGACTTAGAGGGCATTTTCCAGTTTATTTCAACCTAGGATTTTCTTCCAGAAAGGCAGAATTTAAGGAATAGTTAAAGTCATGGTTGTCCATGGCTAAATTGGATAACAGCGTGAGGAATTGCCAGAATGCAGACATGCTGAGAGGGTGCAAGTTACAAATTCTCTATAAACATAGTATCTTAACATCAAAGCTGAAGTTGTCCCTAGGCACAAAATTTTCAGACACATTGATCCAAAATTAATTAGCCTATAAATTTAATTTCCATCATTTAATCAGCTGAAAAAATTAACTATGCAAGTGTGGTTACAGTTCGTTAGTATAGCATAACAGGCAGAAATTTTGAATAATTTTGCTTTGGGTTGCAGGCTTCAGAGTTAATTTTATAGCACGATCATTTAGGCACTGACTCTTGAAAAAATGCTACACATTTACTCAAGGCTCTAGTGTGGTTAAAATAAAACAAAACACACCATGCTGAAAAACACAAAAAACAAGTAGCCAAATTATTTTGAGAACATTAAATATACTATCAGATCTTGAGTTGGTTTTTAGTTGCTTGTCATTCTTTGTTACCTGAGGAGCCGAGGTGGCGCAGCAGTTAGATTGCAGTACTGCAGGCCACTTCAGCTGACTGTGTTCAGCAGGTCAGCGGTTCAAATCTCACCGGCTCAGGGTTGACTCAGCCTTCCATCCTTCCGGGGTAGGTAAAATGAGGACCCAGATTGTTGGGGGCAATGTAAATATACATTGCTTACTGGTGTACACCGCTTAGAGAGTGCTTGCACTTAAAGCGGTATATAAGTCTCATAAATAAATGGAAATAGTTGCATCAGGATTGATTATCACTGATTGCTTCTTTGACTCCTTGAAGCCCATGCGTGTATCACCAGTAATAGTATCCAGCCACTTTGTTAGGTTCCTATTCCATTGCCTTTGATTTTTCCATGCATTGAAGTCTTCTCTAGGGAGTCTTGTCTTTGCATTATTAAATATTAAAGCTGTAAGCTTCCTTATTCCACAGAGCAAGCTAATTTTACTTCATCCAATAATGAATGTTTTGTTCCTTGAGACCAAGGTATTTCTGGCATTTCTCCTGGGATTGCAATTCAAAGCCTCAGTTTTCCCTTTTTTTATCCTTTCTGAAGATCCAGCTTTTTCATAGATATATATTATAACTGGGAAAATTATGACACTTAAAATATTTCATTGTTAGTATATCTCTGCATTTTAGTTTGGCTCTTATAGTCCCGCCGAAAGAGCAGGCCTCTCTCTTTCTTTCACAACTACAGTCGTTACTCCTGTAATGTAAATAGCTCAAGCCAGAGTAAAACATAAAACAATAAAGTTGCTGGAAAATGCCTCAGTCCTACATGCCACGTTACAAGTATAATAAAAGGAACCAATTTGGTGTAGTGGTTAAGGTGCTAGTCCAGAAATTAGGAGACTGTGAGTTCTAATCCAGTCTAAGGGGTTGTAGGAGGACAGCACAAATACCACCCAGAGAAAAAAATATTTTGGGAATATTAAAAGGCAGAATATTATATTTCTCCAAAGGATCTTAAAGGCAGAAAAGCAAGCCCAGCTTGTCTTAATAGCCCCAAGCAGAAACTAGGCAGCAGCCAGCTTTTAGAAATGCAGATGTGATAATCCTATTCAGAAAGATTGGAGCCAGGAAGCTAGAAGCTGATGAGATTAGAAAGACAAAGACCCCTAAAATCTACATCCCCCACCCAAACCCTAACGAAACATGACCTTTAGGACATAATAGGATTAATCCACCAATACCAAAAAGGACACACTCAGAAGAATCTCAGGTCAAAGTTCATGCCACAGGAACAAGAACTCCAAACACAAAAGCCCCAGAAGGTAAAAAAAAAAAAAAACCACCACTCCCAGCTACGTGTGGTCAGCTGCTCCAGAGCCTCCTGTCTTGGTTCTGTTGTTCAATAAACTACAACCTTCTTTCTAAAGCAGTCTCCATTTTGTTTATTCCCGGCTTGGACTGGACCCTGATGAAGATTTTTCTTTCAACGGGGTGAAAGCCAGCTGGGTGACTTTGGGTCAGTCATTCCCTCTCAGCGCAGCCCAGCCCAGCCCACCTCACAGGGCTAGTGTGGGGAAAATAGGAGGAGAAAGGAGTTTTGTGTATGTTCCCTGCCTTGAGCTACTTATAAAGTAATAAAGGTGGGACAAAAATCAAATAAATAAATGAGCATTGTACTGGTCCAGCAGACATATTACGAGGGGTATATCATTATTTTTCACACACAAAGAGATTTAAGAAATCTACTGAGTATTTTTTGAAGTTA